AAGATTCTGTCTGTATGGTATAAGCAAATGAAGGAACTTAACTCAACTGGACTGTTTCAGCGTTGTTCTTGGGCTGGGCCTGACACTTTTTTCAGCACTGTCGTAACTTCGAATGGTCATTAAACAAATGGTTATAAGTTGAGGACTACCTGCATTTCTTGTTTTTATCACATGCATCCTTCTATATCACCCCCACCCACCAACCCCCAGATACAATTTCTATAGCTATGTGCATATTTGTAATTACATTTCTAAAATCTGTCCCATGATCTCATGGCCAGGAGTTAGAAGATGTCAGGCAAAATATAGAAAAGAATTTACTGATCGAGCAATGGATGAGGTTCAGTAACGTGGCAAAAGGATTTAACTTTCAGTTGTTATACGAAAATACTTGCTTCTCTCTTAAAGGAGCAAAATGAAGCAAACTGACTTTAAAACTATGAGCAATGAACTTTTATATTTCTTAGCCATAAAGATGGAGATTATGTTTACCATTATTTCAAAATTACCTATATTTTTAAATCTGTCATAACTGCACTTAAACTGATTACTTGTATCTCAGTCTTCATGTCCCACCTACAAAATACGAGCATTACCTGGTTGCTTTGGACTGAATTCTTATGTAAGTCTTTTGGTTACTTTTAGAAATTGTGTTTAAAGCACTGATTTGTAGTAAACTCAGAAGACTTTTTTTTACTCACAGCTAATCACAGTGTACGTTAATGTGGTATAATAGTTAATTGGGGCAACATCTTCCAGGTTATCACGTTGTACATGCCTTTCTTCTCCTACTGTCTAGCAAGTAGCAGCACCAGCTGTGTTTGGACTACAGTGCTCAGAACACTGACCATGGTGGCTGAAAATTGGGGAGTATACTTCCGGTATATCTGACATGCACTAGGTTGTAGAAAGCTACACCAGAGCAAATGGTAAGAGACTTGCGTCCCAAGAAATTTTATTCAAGATTTTTGTCCTCGCCTCTCATGCTGCAGTTCTCTCAGGGAAGCTTATTTTCTACATCTTTTGCTTTAGCAAAACAAGCAATTTCCATGAATTAGAATAATGGTATGAGCCTATACTACCACCAACATTTATAATAAGGTAGAGCCATCTAGTGGTAACAACCATTTTTCCTTTCTCTTTTCCTCTCATCCATCTACTTGGCTTTTTTTATCACACAAAAGATAGTCAAGGAGCGTCATCCAACATTTTCTACTGGACCCTCTACTTGAAAATGTAGCTAAGATGGGAAAATATATTTGATTATTGCCTTCCCATCAAATATAGTGGTATTTTTTAATAACCTTGAAAACAGCGGTGGCTTTTGAGAGGTTAAGGATTGAATTTGTAAAAGCCCATTACTGGACAGTGTCAGCAAGAAAAACGTTTTTTTAAGAGCATGTTTTAAAATTATTGTCTTTTTCCTATTGTACAATATCCATAGTAGTTACAATTATAAGTTGCCTTAGGAAAAAAATGAAGTTATTTCTATAGCATGATAATTGGGTGCAAGTCCTTTTAATGTGTTAATTACAATAGCTATGCAGAGAACCTCTGCTCTTCTCTTTCATATTAGGTCTCCCCTGCCACAAAACTGCTGTAGAAGCCCCACCGCCCACCCCAATTCTCAGGAGCAGGTTTTGAGAGCACAGGAGGGAATTACAGGGGAAAGGAGAAATGCCATTTTTTCTGGTACCATGGAACTGGCTCTGTCCATGGAAAAGTGGTGCAATTTCACATTCAGTGATTATGGAACTAAGGAACAGGCAGAAGGAGAAGGTCTTTGCCCTGAAAAGATGTTGCATTTATGGCAGACCATTTACAAAGGAAGCTTCTGCTCAATCTCACCAAGAATTCGAATTCCCATCATTCTCTGGAAGAACCAAAGTAATTATTTGTTTATTTGTTTGTTTGTTTATTGAATTTCTCACCTGCCCATCTCCCCCCAATGGGGGAACTCTGGGCGACTCACAACATTAAAAACATAAATATATATACATACATAAAACATCAATTAAAAGCATTACTAAAAAAGGGGAAGGATTACTGAAAAAGGGGAAGAAGAGTCCAAGATGAAAAATCTGAGGCTGAAGGCAGAAGGCCTCTATGGGGCTAGCCATCCCTATGCTTGAGATATTCCCTCCCCACCCCAGGCCAAGTGGCAGAATCAGGTCTTCAAGGCCCGATGGAAGGCCAGGAATGAGGGGGCCAATCGCATCTCCAGGGGCAGAATGTTCCAAAGAGTGGGGGCTACCGCAGAGAAGGCCCACCTTCTGGACCCCGCTAATCAAAGTTCTTTCACTGAGGGGGTCTGAAGCATGCCCTCTGTGTGATCGGGTGAGATGGGTTGAAGTCATAGGGGAGAGGCGGTCCCGTAGATAACTTGGTCCCATGCCATGTAGGGCTTTAAAGGTAATAACCAACAGCTTGAATTGGACCCGTAAGCAAACGGGTACCCAATCTCGCGGAGCAGTGGCGTTACATGGGCCCTCCTTGGGGCTCCAAAAATAGCCCACGCAGCTGCATTCTGGACCACCTGTAGCTTCCGGATACACTTCAAGGGTAGACCCATGTTAAGCGCAATGCAGGAGTCTATCTGGGAGATAACAAGGGCATGAGTGACTGTTCGAAGGGCATCCCGATCCAGGAAAGAGTGTAACTGATGCACAACCCGAAGTTGTGCAAAGACCCTCCTTGCCACGGCTGCCACCTGCTCTTCAAGCAGGAGCCGTGAGTCCAGGAGGACCCCCAGATTATGCACTGGTCTGTCTGGGGCAGTGCCACCCCATCCAGCACCAAAGATGACAAAGTCCCGGATACAGAAGAGCCGTTAACCCACAGCCACTCCGTCTTACCAGGGTTCATCCGAAGCCTGTTGTTCCCCATCCAGACCCTCACAGCCTCCAGGCACCGCAAAAGGGCGGCCATGGCATCACTTACTTCACCAGGGATGGAGATGTATAGCTGTGTATCATCAGCATACTGATGATACCTTATCCCATGATGACAGATGATCTCACCCCGCGGTTTCATGTAGATGTTGAAAATGAGTGGAGAGAGAACCGAACCCTGCGGCACCCCACAAAGGAGGGGCCAAGGATGGGACCTCTCAAAATATATCCTGTGCTTCAAGAAAAATAATAATTTTGTATACTAGAAGCCAGAGAGATTTCAAGGAAGAAGGGGAAAGATGAGGATGCAGCCATTTTGCAATTGTGGATCTACTGACAGTGTCACTTTCAGAAATTGAGAATTACACATACCTTGGGTTGGTGTTACAATCTTTCTCTTCTTTTACAGGAGGCAAAAAATCACATTCTTCTGTGAAGAAATAATGAACTATTAGCCTTGGGAATCTGGGGGACAACAGTTCAATTGAAATAGCAATGACTGTATGATGGGCTTCTGCAGAACATGGACATAATTTTTCAAAATATTATGTTTATATATTTTTTTAAAAATGCTCTGAATGTCTCAGAAGCCATAGTACCCTTTGTTTCATTTATCTGAATGCATTCCCTGTATATAAACAGCTTTCCACTCCAATATTTTGCTTTTTTCCAACCAGCTAAAAATAAAATGGATAATAATAAACTGTCCGTTATACTATTGTGAATTGTCACATCTGTTATTCTGTTGGATTACTCTTGCTGGGGAGTTTGTGGGCTCTTGTTGATTTCATGCTGTGGCTTAGTAGTACCTACCAAGTACGATGTTGCAAACTGATGCCCCAAGCCCATTGAAGATCACTGGCAAGTAGCATCACATATAATGCCTAGGACTCCATTTTTTGCTACCTAGTAGGAGATCAGGCTTGCTGTAGCTCACATTGTTTGGCAGGAGGTAGTGTTGCAAGCCAGAGATAAGTGACATTGCACTGTATATTGAGTAAAGGTACAGAAGGGAGCTTTAACCTGAGTGAACGCTCTCAGCCTTTATAAATTCTGTTCCTTTTGTTATTTTGGTGCAGTTTAAAATGACACTTCCTCCTTTTATTTCCTCTGCCTTTGTACAGATATTTTGTGGTTTTCCAAAATTATTTACCTAGTAAGGAACAACTACCAGTTTGCTCACATGAAGTCTGCTTTTTATTTTTTTTTTATTTTTATTGTACACAATGCAATAGTGTTTCATGGGATTTTGCTGTTGAGCACTGGAAATTTATTTGTTTCAAGAGACATGAAAGCTTTGGAGGGACAAATATCATTAAGAATATATACAGTATCAGAGAACTGAGTGGGTATACTACCTTTGGCCTTGTAGCATGCAACTCTACAAATCTTGTATATGGTCTCAGAATTCCTTTGCAAGTTATCATCAAATTATAAATTGAAATATTGCAAAAGGGGAAAATGATTAAACACATGGGGAATATTAAACTGTATATAATTAATTGAATTTAAATTCAGTCTAGTTTTGCCCTCGCATGGCATTGAAATTAAGCACATCCTTAGTTCCAAAACGACTGTGTATTTCTCAGGTGAGGAAAATGAAAATACTGCAAAAAAAACAACAACAACCCTAAAAATTATAGAAATTCTTAGTTATTCAGTCTTCAAATTGACCTATGGTATATAAAGCTGCATGAAACATACGCAAGTTATGTCACTTTATTAAAGCAATTGTTGCTATTCTGGCCTTGAGCTCAGGGGTAGAGGATGAGATGGCCAAGTTTATGGATGCTGTACCAACAGCTGAGGAATTAGACTGGATTCTGAAAACTGAATATACTTAGGCTTAGTTGCTCATAGAGCTTAACTGAGATCTGTAAATACTCCTTCCCTCAAGCCTTTTATCTGAAAGTCATTTCAGTATTTGCTGGATTAACATGCCTGGACAGATGACCATAGGAAAAGGAGAAGTGTTCATCTGTGAATTTGTCGGCTGGCCCCTTTAAGGATATACATTTTTTAGTCAGGGCATGCAATTGATCAATGTTGGACTAGAGAAAGAGATTCATAAAGCCTAAAAATTTTCACCCTTAGTTGCAGCAAGTTGTGTACATAGAACTTTTGTTGTATCTGCTGCCTACTGTCTGCATGGATATCTGCTACAAATGGGTCACACTGACAACAATAATACATACTTTAATAATCCTCTAATATCCTGCATCCATTGCTTTCTCTTATGCAAACAGACTTGTATGGATTCCTACTGTGCAAAAGGAATAATAACACATTCAATGATCTACAAGTAGAGATACTGTATGTTCTCAATCCTACTAGAAGGGGGTGGAGGGAGGCAACCAACCTCTGGCCATTGAGTAGAAGATAACTTTTGTGCAAAAGGGCTCTCAACAGTTTCAAGTAACAAGGCATAGGTTTATATGGATTATACTTTCTATTGTAAATGTTGATGCACAATTTATATAAGAATTGTACTGACACATGCAGTTTCCTCCTTAAATGGCTGGCCTTTTTACATTTACTCTAAACTAGATTCTTGGTGTGCAAGGTTTCAGCAGTTGAACAATTGGACTAAAACTCATAGATTTCCAGCCAGCGCAGCTGGAATAATGGGAGTTATAATTCAGCCCATCAGGAAGATGCCAGTCTAGGAAAGGGGCTTTAAACCACTGTTGTTGTTGTTTTTACAATTTTTACAATTAAAAAAAAATTATGGCTGCCCATCTTAGAGCACAACTCTGGGTGGCTCACAACCATAAAGCCACAAACACAGTAAAAACCATAAAAACAAAACTAAAACCTGACTCCTCAGTCATTCTCCTGGGATGCCTCATCAAACCACCCACAAACAGTACTCAGCCTCTTGGTGCCCACATATGTTTCACTCCTTTTCTGATTTTTAATGCCATCTTTTCCCTAAAAGCCAAACATTATTACAGTCCTTTTTGGACAAACAGCTTGATCTCACATTCCCCCTGCCAAGCAGCTTGATTTAACCTAGCAAGAGAGACAAATATACATGATGATTAAAATAAAGGAGCCAGGAAACACAGCTTTAAAAATAATTGGATATGCTGTCTTCTCTTCCAGACAGTAATCACAGCTAGCCATCTGCTTTTGAAGGAAAAAATTATTTCATTCCAGGTAATGGCAGTTAAGTAGTCAACCTAAAAGGACTACACAAATGACCCAATGTGGTCATTGCCTGCTTTGTATAATTATCCCAAAGAGAGAATTGAAGAAAAAGCACTAGAAGTTGTGAGTCAATTGTGAAGTATACTATAAATTAATGCCAACACCCTCCCTTTAACATTAAAATCCTGCCAATCTCAAGAAATACCTGGTACATTTAAAAATATCACAAGCATTTATATGTTCAGAATAAAAGCTTCCTTATAAAAGGGACATCTTTTCGGATTACCTCCTCTTTAAAAATAAGAATCCCTAAAATACAGAGCATGTCATTTTGGTCTCATTTTATGATGTATTATTATTATTATCTAAAATTGTTTAAAACTCCTTAGCTATGTCAGAGACAGAGATACCAGAAAAGAAAAAAGTTTGTGGGGCAGATAGGGATAAATACACACCATTTCTTTTTAAGCTATTCATCCATTTATCCAGTTCTTCCATCTCAATTTCCATTACAGAGGGTGTATCTTCTTCAAAAATAGGACTGAATAAGAAAACAAAACAAAAATAATTTAGAGCTGGCAATTTAGAATTGTTCTTCTTAAGACAGATTTTTTTCTATAAAATTGTTTATATCAGGCACATGCTCAGGGATGGCTAAATGGCTACCAACTAGTGGCTTTAGTTTAGAAAAAAATATTATTCATTACACACTTGCTGTTGAATTAACAAACATTACTGGATGGCTAAAGAACTTCACAACAGAGCAGGCAACTCTGTCTCTAGATGTAACCATGTACAGCAAGTTTCACTGATATCCAGAGCAACATTAGTACAGATCATGAAAGGCAGATGTGAATGTTTCTGCTGAGGTAGCTCCTAAATATTGAGGGTGAGGATGCACACTACAGGTTCTTGCAAGGAAAAATTTAGCCATCACTTAGGCTTTGGGCTACTTTGTCAGCAATTAAGATCAGTAACAAGGTGCTCCCCAATCCAATCTCTGTGTTACTGATGAAGTTAATTTAGATCAATGAAAGCTTATTTGCTGGCCTTTCAGATGTCATAAGATACTTGGATGTTTCTTTGCAAGACACCAAGACAGCTGCTCCCTTTGGAATATCCGGACCTAGATGGTCCCCTTACCCTAAAAAGGAGATTAGGGCTGTTAAACTGCTTTGAAAAAGTCTTTTCAAATCTCTCAATATAGCAGGCTACAAACAAACTCCAGCCCATTTTTTCTTAATTGAATCCTTCACAAAACCAATTATTCCTACATACTCAAGAAGGCCAAAAAAGGTTTGACACTTGGGGAAAAAAGAAAATTCTATCCACATCACCTCTTCTTCCTTCTTTTTCTATTTGACTGATAGAAGTCTAACTCAAGTCTAGATCAAGCAGCAACCCAGCAGAAAGATCAGGGTGATAATTCCATTGTTATCACATGTGGAATTCTTTTATTGACATATTCCTTTTTTCCATTTGTGATGAAATAATTCTATTCTTGCTCCACTAGATTCCATCTGGTTCTTGGCCATGATAATGGTCCTCCAAGGACAAGAAATTTCCCTGGAGAAAATAGATGAATATTTAAAGAAACAAAATTTACTGAAGATTACAGAGAAACAGAAACAGATTATGAATGAACCCATAACATCAAGGAAGTTTATGAAGCTATAAAAAAGACTAAAACAGGAAAGGTGCCTGGACCAGATGGGTTACCGGCTTCTTACTATAAATGCTTTGAGGATAAACTTTTGCAACCTTTATAAAATATGATGAATTCTATTCTACAGAGGGGAAAGATGCCAGAGAGCTGAAAAAAGGCTAATATAGCATTAATACCTAAGGAAGGACAAGATTTGACTTTAACAAGAAACTATCAGCTGATATCATTATTGTATAACGACTATAAGTTGTTTACAATGATTTTGGCTGAGGTTGAAAATAATATTGCAAGAATTTATTTATGAGGATCAATGTGGGTTTTTACCTAAAAGACAGTTAAAGGATAATATAAGAAATGTGCTGGTTATTTTTGGAAAATTTAGAGCAACATAATGAAAAACAAGCCACATTGATTTTCTTAGACACAGAGAAGGCCTTTGACGGTTTGAACTGGGCCTTCCTGTTTAAAGTTTTGGAAGATATGAATTTTGGAGAGAATTTTATTAAATGGGTAAGATTGATTTACACTTCACCAAAGCATAAATAATTGTCAATGGAGATCTAACAAAACCTTATGAGATACAAAAAGGGCCAAAACTTCCTGTTTAAAGTTTTGGAAGATATGAATTTTGGAGAGAATTTTATTAAATGGGTAAGATTGATTTACACTTCACCAAAGCATAAATAATTGTCAATGGAGATCTAACAAAACCTTATGAGATACAAAAAGGGCCAAAACAAGGATGCTTGTTGTCTCCTGTTTATTTTAGTTCTTGAAATATTGAATAAATATATAAGACAAGATGAGAGGATTGTGGGAGTAAAGATTAAAAAAGAAACTTATAAGTTAAGGGCATTTGCTGATGACTTTGTGTTGGAGAATCCACTAAAGAGAATAAAAACATTAATGGAAAAATTAAAAGAATTTGGTACACTAGCAGGTTTTAAGATTAATAATCAGAAGACAAAGATGTTAACAAAAACATGAAAATAGAGGATCAAACAGAATTGATGAAGAACACAGGTTTTAAGATTGAGAAAAAAGTAAAATATCTGAGCATCACCATAACAAATATGAATTGTAAGTTATTTCAAAATAATTATGTTAAGACATGGAATGAAATTTTAAAAAATATGTTAAGATGAGAGAAATTACAGTTGTCATTGTTGGGGAGACTTTTTGTGTTAAAAATGAATGTTTTGCCTAGAATTACGTTTTGTTTCAGACAATACCATTTTTGACAACTAATGCACCATTTAAACAGTGACAAAAGGATATAACTAAGTTTGTATGGCAAGGAAAAATACTACGAGTTAAATACAATGTTTTAAAAGATGCAAAGGAAAGAGGAGGATTGGGTTTACTTAATTTGAAATTGTATTTTGCAGCTTGTTGTTTGGTTTGAATGAAAAAGTGGGTGTTGCTGAGAAATAGAAGAGTTTTAGAGTTAGAAAAACATGACCTGAGATTTGAGTGGCATGGATATTTATAGTTGATAAAGTCAAGGTTAATGTAGATTTTAAAAATCACTATGTTAGACATGCCATATTGAGAATATGGAACAGGTACAAATCCAGGTTGTGCTCGAAAATGCCTTTGTGGTTCTCAGCACAAGAAGCATTTTATAGACGAGAAATAATAGGCAAGCACAAATCAATAACATACCGTGCGATACTAGAATTCTGTCAAGGAGAATACAAAATAAAATCAAGAGAACAACTGATGGCAGAGGGACATAGTTGTTAAAGGTTTTCCTATTTACAGTTAACAGAAAGATTCGAAGTAGACAAAAGAATTTATGGTATTGCATACTTTAAGACTGACTTTGAAACAGAATTGTGTACAAATGATGAACATGTGATTGCTAAATTGTATAA